GGTGTGCCGCCGGCAAGCCTGCCTGCAACCAGGCAGGGCTTGCGTTGGGGATCTGGTGTCAGGATCCAGTGGAGGATCTGCCACCAACGTGTCTGAGGATCTAATAGCCGTAACTGGGTTTTGCAATGGCTGAGCTGGGGTTGCCATGGTTGAGCTGGAGAGGGTGCTGGAGGTGAGGGCTCAGCTGCATGCTGCACACCAAGGTGGGTGCAGGACAGCAGTGGGACTTGACATGTCTTCCCTGGCCCTGGCTCGTCATAAGACTAAGGCCACGGGTTGGGTTGTAGCATGGTGGGATCCTCACCGTGATGCATCTTTTCCTGGCCCTCAGGCAACGCCTCCGTGGGGAGGATCGTGATGGCAGCCGCTGCCGTGCGCGTGGAGCTGGGGGGCAAGAACCCCTGCTACGTGTCTGACACCTGCGACGTGCAGAACGTGGCCCGGCGGGTGGCCTGGGGCCGCTTCTTCAACGCGGGGCAAACCTGCATCGCGCCTGACTACGTGCTGTGCAGCGCGGAGATGCGGGAGAAGCTGCTGCCCGCCCTGCGCGAGGCCATCACCAAGTTTTACGGCCCCAACCCTCAGGAATCCCCCGACTTCGCCCGCATGGCAGGGGACAAGCAGTTCCAGCGGGTGCAGGCGCTGCTGCAGAGCGGGCACGTGGTCATCGGAGGACAGACAGACGAGGAGGAGCGCTACATCGGTGAGGGCTTGAACTTCACATAAGTCTTCATCCTTGCATGGCGTGGACTTGGATTTTGGAGAGGGTCTCACAACTGGAGGGGAGGTTCTAAATGGAGGTGACATTTAGGGAAGGTTTGCATGGGAATCGGGGAGCTTGGCAAGGTGCCCTATCTTAGAGGAGGTATAGGTCTTGGGGAGAGGACCAAGGTGTCATCGCCAACCTCTGTGCATGGCTGATGCCTTCGGGTTTCTTTCTCTGCAGCTCCCACGGTGCTGGTGGACTTGCAGCCCTCTGATCCTGTCATGCAGGAGGAGATCTTTGGCCCCATCTTGCCCATTATCATTGTGGCCAACGTGGATGAAGCCATTGACTTTATCAATAGCCGTGAGCGGCCGCTGGTTGTGTATGCCTTCTCCTCCGATGTCAAGGTATAGCGTACAGGCTGTGTGAAGCCAGGGCTACGCTTGCCCCATGCTCCTTGGCAGGTGTATTCAGCCATGTTCACGCTCCAGAAATTTTCTTTAGAGCAGACAGCCCTGGTTGTGGGGGAAGGATTGCAGTTGGAGGTGCGGGAACAGGGTGTGAGACCCACGTCCACCTTCTCTGCTTCTCTCCCAGGTGGTGAACCAGGTCCTGGAGCGGACAAGCAGTGGTGGCTTCTGCAGCAACGACACCCTGATGCACGTGGCGTTGACCTCGCTGCCCTTCGGTGGGATCGGTAGGTCCAAATCCCCCAATCTGCCTGCCCCTGGTGCCTGATCCCACCCCTGGTGCCTGAGCCATGCTGGCCACGGTGAGGAAGGCTCTCGGGGGAGATGGGGCTCAACGGTCTGGAGGGAAATCCTTCTGCACCAGGTAGGACCCCAGCAGAAGCCCTTTGCTTCACTGCGCCAGGGCTGAGCTCTGGGGCTTTGCAGCCCTGCTTCTGCTGAACACGCGTGGAGCACTGTGAGGTTTCTTCTCTCCGTGTTTGCCGTCCCAAGCACAGCGTTCCCTGTGTAGTGGAAATACCTTGTTTAAAAGGTAGGGAATTTTGAATGTGGCCACCACAGAAACATCTCTAGACCTTCCTTTCCATATGCAGTGCCTCTGTAGGATGCCAGCAGCCAGCCTGTCACACCCATCCCGCTGCTGTGCTACCCCTTTTCTCTGCAGGAGAAAACTTAGAAATTGTCACTTCTCCACAGTTTTCAGGAACTCAGAATTTCAGTTTTTCATGGATCTCCATTTTGGACTCCGGGTCTGAAGACAGGACAATTTCCAGTCAATTCCCAAACGTACACATGTTCCTTTATATCAACTCCTGGGGACCTATATTGCATAAAACCGTTGAGGAGTAGACAGCCGGGGATCCAGATCACAGCCTAGCGGAGGTACTATGAGGGTTAGAAGCTTTACAAGCATTTGCCATCATCCCATCTCAGAACTGACAAATCACCCAAGGGTGGTATTTTTAAGGCAAATTTATTTATATGTGCAATTTCTAATGGTCCTCCCTGTTGCTCCACACAAAGCTTTTGGAAATTGGCAGACTCCAAAAAGGTCTAAATTTGATTCTGAACCTTTTGCTGAAGCTTCCTGCTGGAGAAAGGCAGCTGAGGAGGCTGTTGCTCCGCTTCCCACATTATCGCAGTCTTCTCTGTATCTACACTGGCCACCAGGCAGTGGTTTTAGCTTTACACTTGATGAATTCAAGCAATCACGCATGAATTCCCTGCAATGTGAAGTAAGGAAATGAGTATCAGCTTTAAGTTGCATAGCGCTCATGTTTCAGTTAACATAAGTGCTCTTGAGCCTCCTTGGGATGTTTTCTACCCAGAGCATTAGCTGGAAAACAATCCTTTCATTCTTTTAAAGGCTTCAGAACAAAGCTATGTCTAGTTCTGCATTCTTCCACCACAACCCTATGAGTAAGAACAGGGCAAACATGCACGATATTTCTTCCTGAAAGTCTTCCAGCCTCTATTTGTTTCCAGCTCAAATGATTTGCTAAGGTACTTATCCAGGCTCTCCCTGAATCCAGGGAAACTTTTAGTCACCACGATACCCCTGTGACATGGCATTTCACAGCTCACGGACAGGAACAGCACTTTGGGGCTGTGTTTCTTCTGGCCTGTTCTGGATGTCTACTTTGGCTGAAAAAAACCCATGTCCAGAAGTGCTTCTCTCTTCCCTCTGAGAGGAAGGAGTCTAGGTGGTGGAGACACCCACTTTTGATCAGATGATCTTCACTACCATGGTAAACCAGCTCCCATTCTCCACCCGAGACACAGCTGCCCAGCTGGCCGAGAGCCACCCAGTGACCTTCCTTCATGCTGGGGCTGCTGATGGGGCGAGATACCAAACAACTCATCAGCTTGACCAGGATTTTATCAGGAAGACTGACAAGCTCAAGCTAACGGAATTTTATCGCATCAGTTATCAGCACACAGCTGGATTTCCTTATTTTCTGCCAGCCTGCCTAACTTTCCCGTGCTTGCTCCCAGGCAGCCAGCTTTCACCTCCCAACAGCCATTTCACTTGTCCTTGGAGATGGGTCACAGCCTCACCAAAGCCACCTTGACAATCACCCCTCTCCACTCCTGGAGTCTTGCCGGTAGCGGGGCTGGAGCCAGCGTGGAGGGGACGTGTTTTGGAGGGTATCCCTGCGGTAGGGAAGCTCGTCTGGCGGGAGCATCTTGCTGCTGCTGCCCGCTCCAACACCACATCGTCGGTGATGCCCTTCCCAGTCGCTCTGGCACCAGGCGAGGTTCTGTGATCAAAAAGTTTGGGTTTTTTTTTTTTTTTAATCAATAAAGTTTTCAGAATTAGAGTAAAAAGGGAACAGAAACTTGAGAGGGGATGTAGGAAGCACCTGCAAAAGAAGAGTTGAAGATACAGAAACAAGACTAGTTTACTGAGTGTTTTAGGTGCTTAAACATCCGTGGAGATGGGGATGCACCTCCCACCATCCCCAAGGGCATCCATTAAGCAAGATGTACCTGTTTCAGGCTGGTATAAAACACCGCTTCCTCCCTGGAGGGCGAGGATGGGAGGGCAGCGACCAGCGCTCTTGCTGCCTGTTCTCTGCCATGCCACGCTGAATGTGCGGCCATTCCTGGTCCCCCCACTCCACTTTTCCCATCTGCCAGCAAACTGGGGGCACTTTGGATCCTCTTCCCAAAGCAGCAAGATGATGTGAAAGGCTCCAGCCTTCGCCCGGTTTCCTCGGCTCAGAAATTCTCCAATGCGCAGTCCCTCCTGTTGGGAAGACGATGTTTTTGCGAAACTCTTATTCTATCAACATTTTTCTGAGCCTGGCTTAACGTGGTGAGCTTTGCACCAGGGCTAAACGCGTTACCCGAAATGGTGAAATCCAGACTGATGAGAGGGTGGTTGGGAACCTTTCCTCCTCCCAGCCCAGTCTTCCTCCTCCCAACATCCCTCATTTGGGTGTCCAGCTAGGCCATCTCCATGGTCCTCTTTAGATAGCTTTCCAGGGAAGCTCGGCCACAACCAGCCCTCCCCGCCAACCCTGGTGTTAGAAAGCAGCTGGATGAAGACGTGGTGCTGTCCACAGACAGAAGCGGTCTCCATCGCCAGCACCTCCTCCGTGCTGCCCTTGAGAGGGGAGCTGGGAGCTTAATTTTGGGCTTGTTGGCCCATCAATTGGTGAGTGATGGCCAGATCCAGCCACCAACCGGGCACCTGTGCTCTTGTGTTGCAGGGAACAGCGGCCTGGGGAAGCACCACGGCAGGTTCACCTTCGATACCTTCACCCACCAACGTGGCTGCCTGCACCGCAGCATGGGCCGAGAGGCCTTCAATAACCCGCGCTACCCGCCCTACAACCAGCAGAAGCTGGCGATCGTCCGGACCGCCACCGAGGTGAAGCGCAAGGGCACCTGCACCCTGCTCTGAGGGTCCCCCGCCACCG